TTTTAAGTACTGCCAATGATTCCAACAGGCAGTGGGGCAACATCCAGTGGGGCTTGAGACCCAGGGCTTGGATCATTGATTAAGAAATGCCCCTCCCTGAGGTTCTGGGACTTGCACCTGGCGGGAGAAGCCAGCTGCTGGGTTTATCCTGGAATGCACAGGCTGCGGTACCCAGGGAGGAAGTCAGCGCAGAGCTCCCTTTTATCTGAAGGAAGTCTTGCATGAAGTGCTGATGCCGCCGGAGTCTCCAGCCCTGGGGCAGTCTGGCTCTGTCAGGTGGCAGTAGGACAGTACAGCCTTCCTGGGACCAGCCCCGCCCCCCCATCGGCACACCTGCACTTGGCAGGGGTCCAGGCTTGGCATCCCTTTCAGCCTCTTGAAAGCCCTGCTGTGGAGGCAGGAAAGCTGTGATTCGAATAAGCCGCAGCGGAGCTCGGGGAATAATTGTGAATGGAATCCATGCTGGAGACTTCTGGTTCTCACAGCTGCGGCAGGGGGTGGGGGTCACCATGGGAATTCTGAGTATTGTTCAGTGCTGCCTGCCGCTTCCATTGTTGGACTCTGATTACAGCTTTTGTTTCAGCATAAAGTACCCAGTTATTAAATGCCAGCCGGGTACAAAGATGTATTTACATGCCAGGGGGTCGGTGAAGGCAAGCTATTTTTAGAGCTGCCCCTGCCATTAGTCTGCTGGATGTGGGATGGGGGGAGGGGATTGGGGGTGGGGGAGCTTTCCAGCTTTCAGGTGAAAGTGAATTTTTTCTAAAGGAGCCAGCGATGATTGAAAATAAAAAGTAATCACAAGCCTGCTCTGGTCTACCTAAGTCAATTTATTGATATTGACTTATTTGTATGGCCAAGAGAAGGCGGGGCAGGGTGCCATACAGAACGGAAAGAGTCCACCTCTCCCACACACGCAAAGCCAAACCCTAGACACGAAGAATTGTAGCGGAGAAGTGTGGGCTATTTTATCATGAATGGTGCTGCCCAGGGGAATGCAAGGTCCATGTTCTGAACTCCCCTGTGCCGTGTAGGTTACAGGTCCTCTGGGGCAGAATCACAAGGCACTGTGGGGTCAGGGTTCAGGGCTGTGCTGGGGGCTGATAAGTCAGAGGTGAGATAAGGGTGATAAATCATTTTAGGTCTCGAGGACAGTGCTGAGGTCTTTTCCAGAGTTCCTCTGTCCGGTCTCATGGGAAAGTTGCCAGGAGGGTCCTTTAGGGTTCTAAAGCTGAAATGTAACTCAGGTCAAGATGCTATCTTTAGTCTGCCAGAGGTCTGGACCATGTGACTGTGGTCAGGTCCCAGCTACCTGTCTTCTGCTGCCTTGGGTTGCTGATTATCCAGGGGAAAGGCTGGGTCTCTGAGAGGTAGAGAGAGAGAGAGAGAGAGAGAGAGGGAGAGAGAGAACCCATAGCACTAGGATTTAAAATTAAATTTAATCGAAGTGCTAAAGACCCTCATTTTCTAGTACACTTGAGAAAGATGAATTGAAGTTCCCCTGTATTAGTCAGGGTTCTCCAGAGAAAGACTAGTAGAACATTTGTACAATATATAGATAGATCTAGATATATATGGGAGATTTATTACCTGAATTGTCTCATGTGGTTATGGAGGCCGAAAGATCCCTCGATCTGCAAGCTGGAGCCCCAGGAAAACTGGTGGTGAAGTTCAGTCTGAGTCTGAAGGCCTGAGAACCAGGAAGTTTTGACTTTGTCCTTCAAGGGGCCTGGTGGCATTTACCACTGAACAGGTATTTCTGTTTTAGGCACTGAGAATAAAGTGATGAGCAAAACAGATGAAATCCCCGTCTGTGTGGAGGTTATACTTCAGTGAGGCATGCAGAAGATAAATAAGATAAATATGTAATGTGCAAGAAAGTGGTCACTGCTAAGGAGAGAAAAATAAAGCAGGGAAGGAGAGATGAAGTGTCTTGGAGGGGAGGGGGTCTAATACTAAGAGGGGTAGCAGTGACGGCTCAGTAACTTTCTATGCAACTTTGGGCTGGTCACGTGACTTCTCCACACTTCATGTAGAAGGAGCTCAATAAATATTTTTGAACAAAACTTCCAAGTGCTTTACACATGCAAGGCATGATAATAGGACGGCAATGACATTTTAAAGGTAAATGGCAGATTCTGGAATTCAAACTCCTCCTCTCCCTTGCCTTCAGAGCACAAGCATCCATGGGATACATTCCTCAGTGCCGTCTGCGGGTCCTGAATGTTCTTGGTTGGCTCCCAGACTGTAATTTCAACAAGAGAATAGTCCACATACTTAAAACACACACACACACACACACACACACACACACACACTGAAAGCACTGTTATGTAATAAGCCTCTCCATCCAAAAAAGGCTGGAGGAAAAACAGAAAGAATATTATTGTTATTATTTTTGTCATTGCATGTATTGGCTGATCCTGAGTCTTCCTCACGGGAGGGTGTTAACAGGTTCTCCTTATAGTGCAACCTCCAAGTAGCCGTGGGCTTACTTTGCTGTGTTTTTGGCAACTTGAATCACATCTCTGGCTTTCCTCATTGTCTGTAAATATGGCTCTCAAAGTCAAACAACCTTCGGGGCTTGTTAGGCAAAGAGAGCAAAGGAATAATTCAAAAGCCCTCAGTCACTAATGTCAAATGGTAATAACAATGAGGGCTGAGCTTCCTGAGGGAATGAGAGGCTTTCCGCCTCTGGGGGCTGATCTCTAAGGGAGGGTTTTCTGATCAAACACAAGACACTACATTTGAATTTGGATTGCAGATAAATGAGATTTTTTGTGTGTGTCAGTTTAAGTATGCCCCAAATATCCCAACTAGAATCTTCTAGAATTCCTGAGTTGGAGACTCCATCCATACTTTCAAGCTAAGGAAGGCAAGCTGAAATGTTTACAGGGATCAGGCAAGTGACATCTGGATTTTTGTGTGAAATTTCCCTCCTTTTAAACGTTAGCCACGCATTCAGTTTTAAAACCCTCAAGCCCCATGGTGGACCAGAGAAAAGAGAGTCCTGGTCAGTTCATAAACTGTGATGAAGCCAAACACTCGCAGCTATGGTTCAGATGAGGACAGGAGGCCTTGAGAAGATGGATGTCAGCAAGGCTGCGCAGCTAACATTTCTAAGAAGATTAGCAGAACAGTCATCTTGGAAATGTTAAAGATAAGCATTCTGAAAAAGCCGGGACAGGAGTCCATGAAGCTTGCAAGGAAGGCATTTGCACCTCCATCGGTTTATGGGACTCGGAACATTCTGTAAGGTGAGCAGTTGTGCTCACTGAGGCCCAGTACAGCAAACTGTCACATGCTGCCCAAGGCCACACAGTAAGTCTCCGCAGGTAAGTCTAAGGCTGTCTTTCACTTCAAATGGATTCAGATGAGATAATATCTAAGCTTCCTTCAGAATCCTATACAGACAAACTCCAAGTCCAGTTTTTCTGCCTCATAAACAGAATCGAGTGAGCAGGCCAGGCTGAGGGTTCACACTTTTAACCCGGTTTGCAAATAAAGAAGGGGTTAAGTAGTGAGGAGTCTTGCCACGTTCCCAGGCTCACTGGCATTTAAATTGTTTTCTGTCCTAGCAGCTGTACAGTTTGTGCTTCTACTGGACATTGGTTTGTCTCCTGGACGACTTCATATAGGAAGGAGGTTCTGACGGGTGTTGATATAGATTTTGAAGAGGGAAGGATGTGACCTAAGGCGATGCAGGAGAAGAAAAGGAAGGGCACAAACAGAACAGTTACGGAGAGCCTGGTGTGTGCCATGAATTGTGAAAAGCATGACATATAATTCCCAGCTCTTTGCGTGTCTGAATAATTCTCATTTTTCAGGTTTCGGGTCAAATATCACTTCCTCTGAGTCTTCCCTGACCACACTCGCTTAAGAGCCCCTCCTCCCCAATATCTCTTTAACTTGCTCAGTTTCTTCACTGCATTAAAATCTGTAACTACCTTGCATAAGGACTAGTTCCCCTTACAGATCGCAGGCTTCGTGAAAGCATGATGGTGTTTGTCTTGTTTTCAGATGTATGTCTAATGCCCAGCACGGGACTTGGCACAGTAGGTGCTCAACAGATATGTTCAATATGAATAAATATTTATCCTCCATCCTTCTTCAAAGAATTCCAACTGACCCCCGAAGTTTACCTCTCAGGCTCTCGTCCTATTGGGTAGGAGGTGGAGCTACAGTTCTAGGGAGAAATGATTAAGAGGGAAGAATTGGCGCGCAGAGCTGTAAAAGCGTTTTTCTCCAGGCCACGCCGCAGCCACTGAACTTGTGCTTCCTTGACCGATCGTGGGACAGCTTGCAAACAGATTATCTGCAAACGAATCAAGCCTATTTTTAAAGATCTCTGTGCCCCGAAGCTCTGAACGATGATGTCAGACAACCCTGAGTCCCACCCATGAGCTGAGCCCGTGTCTTCGAAAACTACGAATCCCAGAATGCTCCGCATCACAGGGGCCCAGAGCTCCGCGCGCGACCCGCCCTTTGCATCCGAAGCCGCCTCCCCTGGAACCAGGAAGATATCTTATACCCGGCCCGCCACGCCGCAAGGACCCGCGCGGTGCCTGCCGGGCCTTGTAGTCTCGTGGACTGGGAACAGTGCCCGCTCCGGAATCTCGGCGGCTGTCTCGGAGCAGAGGCGGCGCGGGCACGCGTGCGCAGTGCGCAGGATAGCCGTCGTGGGCGCCGCACCGCCAGTTGGACGCCGGTGGGAGCCGCGGTCGAGGTGGTGCGGCTGTTCCGGGCTGAGGACCGTGGTGAAGTTCTGCGTGAGGAGCGCCGCCGCGCCGGGCGAGGTGGGCGGGGCCGGGCTCGGGGAGCGCCGCGCCGGCTGTGGCGAGCTGGGAGGCGGCTGCGCGTCCGCCGAGGGGCCGGCGGGCGCAGGTGAGTGCGGGGCGGCGGGCGGAGAGCGGCCGTCGGCGCCGGGTCCCGGGCTGTACTCTCAAGGCCCCCTTCCCCACGTGTGCGCCCCGCGCCGCCGCACCTGGGCGAGGCCGCGGGCCGGCTCACCTGCGCGCGCGAGCTCGGGGAACGGCGGGAGGGGGCGGTGTCCCCTTCCCGCGACTGCTTTTATTGTTTTCCTGACCTCAGCCCGGCGTCCGGCCGAGGAGGGCGGGGAGGCCAGTGGCGGTGGCGGTCGCCGACGAGCAACTCGGTGGCTAAAAAGTAGAGTCGCGCCCTCCTCCTTGACTCCCAGCGCCGGCCAGCTGTCCGGGGATTCCCGGCGGGCGACGCCTGTCGGAGTGGCTCGGCTCCAGGGCTGTGCCCACGGGGACTCCACTGCCTTGGGCAGCGTTTTGTAATATTTCAACGCGCTCTCCCGGTAGGACTTGCCCTGAGTCGTAGAGTCACAGTGTTAGTGGTTTAGCTTCGCACCTTGATGGTGCAGATGACCCGTGCGGCAGTGGAAAGTGACTTGCCCAAGGTCACGCAGGTAGGACCCGGGAGGCGTTCAGGACCCAGGACTTTGGGCTTCGAGGCCAGCCGGTAGCCGCACCGCTTTGGGGCCGCCCTGGGTGCTTTGTGATTTAGTTCGTGCTTTCTGTGGACTCTCCTGGACAGACCTACAGGGGGGACGTGTTGTCATAACTAAAGCGGTCTTGGTGCCTGTAGTGTGTACAGCCTTGGAGAGAGGTCGAGGTGCGCTGGGCCCCGGAGCCGGGCGTCTCCCGTCGGCCGGGCAGAGGAGTGAGTAGTGAACCTGGACTGCGGGGTCCGAGGAGGAGCGAGCAGGCAGCGCGCGCCTTGTGCTCTGCGGTTTCACCTCCCAGCCCTGCGATGCTGGCTTCCTTACTGTGGGCTTGATCCTTGTCTGTTGTAATACGATGTTCTTGGCTTTAATGAAGTCATTGCCCTTTGTGAATTAGTTTTCTAAGTAGAAAATCTTATTTCCTGTGAGTTTAATGACTGGAACAGCGGCGCTGTATGAGGTTTAAGCCATTGTCTTTTATCTTCGAACTACTGAACAGTTTGCTTCATCCCCCGCCACCCCCCTCCCCTCAGCTTATGTACTTTGTTAGTTTAATGCCATTGAAACACTTCATAGCAACTTTGGGTAAGCTTCATATGATTCAGGAAAAAAAGTTTAAGAAATCACCTTGTAAAACTGTTTTACAAGTTCTTTGCTATCTGAAGAACGCAAAATGTTATCTCAAAAATAGAGGATTCTTTTGGACTAAAATGCATATTGCATTGCATACTCAAATTTTCATATTTACACATTTGTGGCAGAAATATTTCCTCACACAGAACCTAAAACTCCTTATCTTGGCCAAATCTATTTTCCCAAGGGAAATTGCATTTTATAATACTTACATATTTAAGCAAGTATATTTAAGCTGAGCAGAATGTGAGTTAATAGTCAATTTATTTTATAATGCCATAAACCTATAGTACACGCATCAAGGGAGATGGCTGTGGACTTGCCCTTTTTGATAAGCAGTGGATAATGTGGCGGTTGAGACATGATACGTGTATTGAAACTGCTTCATATCTCATTTTTGTCTTGTTAATTAGTATTTTTATTGTTGCGTTGAGAGGGAAGTAGCAGGTTTGCATCTTTTTATTTTCCAGCTTTAGCAGTGTAGCAAAAAGGAAAGGCAGTGTGTGAATTTTAGTCGTCATAGACTGGGAGTGACAGTAAAACAGGATGAGTATACAATTGTTAGGAAACTGCCTTGAGTTCCTAAGCCGGAAGGACCTCTTTAGAAGTGTTTAAGGACATTAAGAATAGCATTGGGTTATTTTGTTTGAAAGTAACTGTGCGCAGGACTTGTGTTGTTCATTTATAGGATATGATGATCTGGAAGGGTTCTAGGAAAATACTCGGGAAAGATAGAAACATTTATATTTTTACAGGGGCTTTTTCTCTAGAAACACTTAGTGCAGCTTTACAAGGATGACTTTTCCTTAAGCCTGAAAGTTCTTAAGAGTCATGCTGCAAAACCCACAGTTATTTTGACTCCATGTTAATTTGTAACTAGAATGAAATCTATGAAGTGATTTATTAGAATACTTTAAGACAGCCTTTGCCATTGAAATATTGCTTGATGTTAAATAGTTATTCTTGTTTAAATAACTGTCATTCAAGAATGGGGAAGATAAATAGAGTTCTGAATAGAATGTAGTGATTATTCCAATGTAACAATAGTTACACTCTGCTTTTATTAGATAGAAAATTTCAAGTGTTATTGCAGGAACCGCCCGCCTCAGCTGTGAGCTGAGGTAATACAAAAATGCTACTTTTTCCACATGTTTGAGCATTTTGCAATATTAAAATTTGATATTACTTTTCAAGGTGATTCTCTTCAGATCTGCAGTGATACAACAAGATGGCTTCAGTAGGAGATAAATACTAAAATTTAGTTTTAAATCTTTTGACCATTTGTAAGTACACAGCATTTGGAAATTACTGATTGGTATCAGAAATGAGTTCTTCAAGTAGAAACTTTGGTAGTTTTAGATGCTTGTCTGTAATACTTAGGTATTTTTAGAAACATAAAAATAGGGGGTGTTTTTATTTAAAACTCAAAAGTCCTGTTGATAGTTCGTACAGCAGTAGGACTCTTATGCTTAATGAGTAATGTTAAACCATTTGAACTCTAATTTTTTTCCTAGTACCTCCTTTGTGATAAAGAATATGTCAGCTTATAATTATTCCTAGAAGCTATTTCAGCAAACTTGTCTGCTGTTTATTTGGGTAGACCTTTTGATTAGTTGAATTGCTTTTGTTTAGGAAGATAGTGTTTTGGGGACTTTATAGCATAAGCTTTTTTGAACTGGAATGTTTGTTGAATGTAAAAGAATATCAGTCATTTGGGATATTTTTAAATATTTAAGCCTGAGAATCCTAAATATTTAAAAATTTCTAAGTCTTAATTTTTTCCTACATGGAATCCTTATCAGACTTGTCAATCTGATAGTTTTATTTTCCAAAAGTTTTATCCCTTTATGTAGCTTAGACTTTTATGAGTTTAACTACTGAACTCTGGATTCTGTATCCAGTTCACCCTCTTCTGGTAGAAAGGACACTCACAGGCACTCAGCTTGGAAGCATCTCAGGGGACTTCTAAAGTAGCATCTCACCCGGGACAGTAAATCCCCCCGGAACTCTCAGGTCTGGCCTTCCCTCTTGTTAGGCAGGGCAGTAATGCTGTTCCATATGCCATCAGGTTACTGAGCAGTCTGAGCTTGTTGGGAACAAACATAAAACAGTCTTTTTTTCAACATTTACTGCTTTTAAGTATGATTTGTAGGATGTTTCTCTTTCCCCTCTCTCTCTGCCTCGTGACATCATGGGCAAATGATAGCTTTTCTGCATTTACAGCTATTAAAAGCCCCAGTCTAATCTGTTTCAGTTTAAACCTTCAATCTCCTGTTCAATTTAAAGCTCTTCTCCTCCCTTACCCCCGTGTCAGGCCACTCACTGCTGGAAGCACTTGGAGTAGGGAGGGGTGCTGGTCTGCCCCCAGGGTACCTCTTTCTCTTCCCTCTCCTGGGATCTGCTTGGACAGGGACTGGTCAGAAGAAAAGGTGAGAGGACAGGTATTTCTCACCTGGCAGGGTTAAAGCTCTCTTTTAATTTGCAGTGGCAAGCCACTGATGTGCACCGGTGGGAGACCAAACTGGAGTTTTGGTGAGATTTTCGCAGGGAGACCCCCTGCACAGAGCTCCTGAATGTGAGATGTGCTATCTGTGCTCTCACCTCCTTGTTCCTGTCATCCGCCCCCTTGGTTTCCTGGGAGTGTGTGGCGTGAGGTGGGTTAGGGGTGTTTTCTGTTGCAGCCCGATTTTATGGTACAGCGAGATAGCTCATGTCCAGCTACCTTCTGCAGCTTCTGCTTAACCCACTGGAAACTCCTTTCCTTGTGATGCCGAATACCGGCCTTCAGGCTGCCGAAGGCCGCCCCCTTTCTGGGCCCTGCCATTTCGTAGGCAGACATCGCTCTGGAGACTGCAGCGCCGGTCTCCTTCTAGGCACTTCTTGTCTTAGTGAGTGGTTTGCTTAGGTGTCCCCTGCCACTGTTTTCGGGTGACTACCTTGTTCCTTTCCACGCGCTCTCCCTAAAGACTTGGAAGACTTCTAATCCCCCCCCCCCCCTTTGTCAACTGCTGGTATAGTGTGGCATGATGGTGAGGTGTTGGTTAGGCACCAGAGCCCTGAGGTGTGTGTGTGGGGGGGTCAGTGCTGGAATCCACGGATGTCCGAGCCTTGGTGACTGTATGTGCTCGGTGAGCTCTGTGTGTGCCAGCCACTTGGGACAGTAAGGGTTGTGTCACAGAGCATTTGGTTAACTAATGATAGTGAAGTCCCATGGGCCTCATGAGGTCTCACTGTGAAGACTTTACTTTTTCTTTCTCTATTTTCTGTCTCTGATTTTTACTTTGTTTTAATTTTTGGGCTTACTTCCTGGTTCCTGACTGATGAAGTATTACCTGTGAATTAATTACTGATTGTATTACCTAACTCTACCTGTAGAGCATAAGTAATACCCAAGGATAAATATGGGGAGGTTTTTATAATATAATTTTATCTATTCTAGCCTCATACTGACTTTATTGAAAATATAAATATAAACACTAATAGAGTGTTTGACCATTTTTCCTTCTGTCATCTAAACAGACCAGTCAGATAAATCTGCTAAATGATTTCTTGTCTGATGAAGAAAAAGCAAGTTTGCATTTGAGAAATTAAACATTCAGATTGGTTACACTAATTATGGGTTTCTTAATACTTCATTCAACAAATATTAGTTACTCAGTGACTTCCATGTGCCAGCCACTGTTTTAGCCACTGGAGAAACAATAGTAAATAGGAATAAAAAAATCCCTCCTCTCATGGAGTCCGCACTCCAGTACGAGGAAACGGCACACAGGTCAATAAGTAAATGATACTGTTTGTTAGCAATAAATGCTACGGAGAATATGCTGAGGAAATGCTAAGGAGAAGCATGCAGCGGTGGGCAGTGGCAGGACAGTTGGGAGCACTTGCGATTTTAGGTAAGGTATCAAGGGAAGGCTTTACTGAGGAGAGGACATCTGGGTTAAAAGGCCTTGAGTGGGGAGCTTGTGTGATGTGGCAAGAGTCCATTGGCCAGACGGTGAGGAAGGGGGGTTGGGGAGGGATGGGATGGGGGAGGTGAGGCCTGTAGGTCTTTGGTTACTCTGAGTGAGAAGCGTTGTATTAAAGCAGTGGTTTTAACCTTGGCTGAGCACTGGAGTTATCTGGGGAGCTTGAAAAATGTGCTGATGCCTAGAGCTCATCTCCAGAGCTTCTGATGCTCAGGGGGGTTGCGGGGGAGAGTCCAGCCTAGGCATCACGATTTTCTGAAGCTCCCAGGTAATTCCAGTAAGTAGCCAAAGTTGACGTTTTGAGTAGAGTGACCTACACGCTAGTGTGGAAGACTCCCCTGGTTGTAATACTGGCGCTGCCAC